TGATGCGGTTGTGTACTACACTACGTATATACATCTGAATCATCAACTACCACTACAAATGGCGTGAGAGCTGGGTCAAACGTCATAACTGAGGCAACAGGACGATGGGGAACCTCTGGCTGGTACTGTTGTTGGCGATATGTCTGGCAGGTATTATCATTAATATTAATATGATTATTGTCATTGAATTGTATTTAGTTGTTTTGTGTGATTTAATTTATATTGTCTTTATAGTATGTATGTATGTATGTATGTATATGTATGTATGTATGTATGTATGTATGTATGTATGTATGTATGTATGTGTATGTATGTATGTATGTATGTCTCTGTGTGTGTATGTATGTATGTATGTCTCTGTGTGTGTATGTATGTATGTGTGTGTGTATGTATGTATGTATGTCTCTGTGTGTGTATGTATGTCTCTCTCTGTGTGTATGTATGTGTATGTCTGTGTGTGTGTATGTATGTATGTGTGTGTGTGTGTGTGCGTGTGTGTATGTATGTATGTATGTATGTCTCTGTGTGTGTGTATGTATGTATGTGTGTGCGTGCCTGCGTGCGTGCGTGTGTGTGTGTATGTATGTCTCTGTGTGTGTATGTATGTATGTGTGCGTGCGTGCGTGCGTGCATGCATGCATGTATGTATGTATGTATGTATGTATGTATGTATGTATGTATGTATGTATGTATGTATGTATGTATGTCTGTATGTATGTATGTATGTATGTATGTATGTATGTATGTATGTGTTGTGGCTATATTTGTGCGTGCGTGCGGGTGAGTGAGTCTGCGCATTTGTTTTCAATAACATTTCAGAACGGAGGTCAGGTAGAAAATATATCAGTTGACAGGTGACTCAAATCAAGTCTTTTATTTCGTATGAAGGCTTTCAGCCCATATACCACGATACAAATTACTAATATATACAATAGTGAATGTAGCATACATTATAAACACGTATAATTTAACATAAGGGGCATTTTGAAAATTTTAACACAAATGTATTGTCCAGTAACCAGCTGCTGTCTCAGCTCAAAGCTCAAACATAAATATTTACAAAGAGTATTTAATAATTCAGTTGCATGTACGCATATTATTTGACTATAAAACACTGGAAAGCCTCACTTATCCTCAGGTACCCGGATATCCCTCTTGTTGATTTCACTTCCTGGACGCCACGCGGCTTTCGCTTGAAAAAATCTGTACCCTTAAGATTGCCCCATTTGTAGCAATTTTGTACGGTCAAAGTCGTCGTCAGGGGTTACTGTAGACGCGCTGGCTTGAGTCTGAGTGTACTAGTGGCCTTCACCTTCGCCGTTGTGGGACTCAAATGTGACACGTTATCAGACTTGAAGGCAATTATATTACTATCACACTTATCTATTTCTCTCTTTCAGAAATGGTGCATGGGTTCTGTTACTTCAAACGAGGCATCTTCCCCACAGATTGCCTTAAGACAGAATACTGCTGTGGGCTAGGCAAATACAAACGATGCTGTAGGAATGGAGAGGTTGAGTGAGTAGCATTTGTATAATTAATCATTGGAGGTATCTCTTTCTGACTGCTGTTCAGAGTGACATGTTTATACGTTCCTTCATGTACCCAGTATGAATGAGTGAGTTTAGTTTTACGTCGCACTCAGCAATATTCCAGCCATATGGCGGTGGTTCGTAAATAATCGAGTCTGGACCAGACAATTCAGTGATCAACAGCATAAACATTGATCTACGCAATTGGGATACGATGACATGTGTCAACCAAGTCAGCAAGCCTGACCACCCGATCCCGTTAGCCGACCCGACAAGCATGGGTTACTGAAGATCAATTATTATGACGTATTTACATCTGTGGATGGCTGGCCATCAAAGGTAGAATGTGGGGCCATCATGCGTTGGCGTCACGCCGAAACAAAGGTTCGTTCGCACAATGTGAAGCCCATTTCTGGTGTCCCCGCCGTGATGTTTTGAATATTGCTAAAAGCGGCGTAAAAAAGGTAGAACTCAGTCAGTCAGTCAGTAGAATTTTAAGGGCTTTTAAGTCATGGACTGTAGATTTTATCGCAACCTCAAGACATTTAACAAAAAAATATTACTTCCAACAGTTAAAAAATGATGTTATTATTTGCACTAAAATACATTGTTGCGAGAAAAGATATTTAGGCTCATAGTTTTAATTTAAGAAATATCCTGTTATGCCGATTTAACCATAATTAAATTAGTCTCCATACAAAAACCCCAGCCCTACTGCCAATAGACTTATATAGAGTTTAAATACCAAATAAATTAAAATTAAAAAATATAAATAGAAAACACTTTCACGCAAATATTTAATACGAGTAATTTGGGTTTGTACTATTCCTGCACTATCAAGGTGAGCTCCACATATTGTACCCATGTTAGGAATCGAACCCGGACCTTGGGCTTGACGAGCAAACACGTTTATCACTAGGCTACACCACCGGCCTTACTCAAATATGAAAACACAACAGAGACTGTGAATGTTTTTGCACCATATATTCTATACATAACAGTACACTATTTTCTCTCCCTACAGTAATTCGCCGCTTATCGTCGGACTGTGTGTTGGAATTCCTTTCGGACTGACTATCATTGGCTTGGCCATTTTCGGTTGTTACTGGAAATTCTGCCGACGATCTGATTACTGATGCGAAACTGCCATACGGAGCATACAGTGGAACTTTAATAAATGCCTAGCAGCTATCAAAATTGTCGTCAAAAACGGAACGTCAAGAAAGATGGCGCGGCCTTCACCTTGAGTATTAGACCTGGCAAGAATACGCAGCCATACACAAAGGTGCATGATCCAGGGTCCCGTTTCACAAAGCAATCGTAGCGCTAAGGTGATCGTAACTCCCATACTTTCACATAGACATACGACAGTCGCAACGCTACGGTCGCTTTCTGAAACGGGCCCCTGCAATATATCTATTTTATGGCTCAAAATAGCCGGGATATCGTAAAACCAATCGAACTCAGCCTGTGATGTTGATATGTAAATAGACAATATTTTTGTACTATATACATACGTAAATATTTGGTGTGTAAATATCTGGGGTTTCTTTTGTAAATACAATAGAAATTGTGTTTTGATTTGCTTCCTTGTTCATTCTTGAAATAGAATACATCAGCGAGAATGTGTGACACATTTGCCATACACACCGGAATTCAAGTGCAGAGTTGCGTCCCTTTGGTCTTCTAGGATTATCGTTCTTTGGTTAGTCACGAGGTTTGCTAGCGGGTGTCATCATCAAAGTGGTTAATGCCTCGCATGCATCACTTCAGGTTTTCCTTCCACAGAACAACCGTAAATGATCCGGGTTAGAATTGATCTTCAGCAACCCATGTTTGTCGTAAGAGGCGACTAACGGGATCGGGTGGTGAGGCTCGCTGACTTGGCTGACATATTTCATCGTATCCCAGTTGCGTAGATCGATGCTCATGCTGTTTATCACTGGGTTGTCTGGTCCAGACTCGAATATTTACAGACCGCCGCCATATAACTGGAAAATTACTGAGTGTGGCGTTAAACTAAACTCACTCACTCACTCTTGAGAGTTAGTTCGGTTTAACGCCGTTTTGGTAGAACAGTCGAACACTGCTTGGTCGAGCTCTGATGAGTCGAGCTCACGGCTGTCTCGAACTTATAACGTGGTCTCTGCGTCTTCCTTATATGGTCATCAATTGTGGTTGTGTCGAACCTCGGATAACTCGAAGTATCAGGTTTCATCAACTCCGGTATTTCATTTATGTTAGGCGTGTCAGCCATTTGTGGAAGGTGACCAATTCTAACCCGGATCTTCATGGGTAACTCACAAGTGCATTGACAAACTCAATGACATCATCGTCTCGACTGTCGTATATTATGTTTGATTGCATTTTAACGCCGAATTCGATAATGTTCGAGCTGTTTAATGGCATTTCGTCTTATCCAGATTGCGTTGGCTGATACGCATATGATCAGTCACTGAATTGTTCGTCCATTATAGAACATATATTCAGCCCACCAACTTATAGCGGGGACACTGAGTGTGACAACGATGTGTACTGGAATACACGGAAATCATGTGCCCATTTGCCTGACAACCTCATTAATACTAATACCAGCGAAATGACAATCGTTTAGATTTCCAGATTCTCTTTACAGTGAGTGATTAAAGGCTTTACGGGGGCGGTGGGGTAGCCTAATGGTTAAAGCGTTGGCTCGTCACGCCGAAGACCCGGGTTCGAATCCCCACATGGGCACAATGTGTGAAGCCCATTTCTGGTGTCCCCCACCGTGATGTTGCTGGAATATTGCTAAAAGCGGCGTAAAGCCAAACTCAGTCAGTCAGTCTTGTATGATCTACAGTAACTTACAACACAGACGCACGCACGCACGCACGCACGCACGCACGCACTCACAACACGAAAATAAAAACACAGAACAAAAAGTTTGGTTACAAGCATTTTCAGCAATACATTTCCTTCTCACTTTGAATAATCTCTCTCATTCTACTCTTTAGTCTCCCTCTCGTGTGAGAAGGTTCTTCTAAAATTAAATGCATGTAAGTTTTCAAAACACAACTGGACAGTTATTTTTTACTCCCCTAATCTCATTGTAGGCAGTAGTACACACTAATTGGAACAGTCCACTTATGTGCAGGTAAGCGCTGTCACAACAAACTTTGTTGCTATTTATTCCCTGTAGCTATTTTTCCCTGTAGGCGTTAGTAGACCTAATCGCACATACACAACAAAACACACACAACAAAACACACCATCCACCCGAAAGAGAGACTATGCGCCTGTTACGCTCAAGTACATGTGAATGACAGTCCTATGAGCGATGAGGCATATCGAGTGGTTTCCCAACGAAATTGTCTTCCGCCTGGTGGGTTTACCCCGCCTACGAAACAGCGTGGGTAAACCATGGGGTAAACCATGTGGGTAAACCAAGTACACAGGCGAAGGCAATAATGAAAGCGAAAGTAGAGGGCATGACTTGATACATACCCGAGAGGTGCCGAGTGGTGGGAATGGCGCTGGCGTGTTCTCTCCTCGTTCTTCTCTGTGTTGCAGGTAAAAATAAGTTACCGTGTTACCAAAGGTGCATAAAGATGTTTTAGTTAGGATTACTTTGAATACAGTATTTTGTTTAATGTGTTTCTAATCTTTGACGTTTCGAGCAAGACAGCGGTATAATAATAGAAACACAAAATAAATATTCTGTCAACATTTACTCATCTGTGATAAAATATCATTTCTTATTGGGAGGCGTGTGCGTGCGTGTTCGTGTTCGTGTCTGTGTGTGTGTGTAGGGATGTGCACACACCCACACACCCTCCTCTGAATTCCCCCTTGGAATTTCGCGAGAGTAGTAGTAGAACAACAGTGGTGATATGTCAGAAGATAATTGATGACTCACTTTCATTTTGTGTGAATTTAGAGTGGAGGTCAAACTTTGGGATATATGAGCCTCATACTTCATACTTCAAAATCAATGATGCTTCTGTGTCACGTGGTACTGGGGAATTCCCAGGGGTTTTCCTAGGTAAAAGGAAGTAGTCGGTGTTAGCGTCACCAACACAATCACGTGAAAACCGTATGAACAGCAAAATGTGTTGTTATGAACTCGTAGAGGGGTAAAGTGTCATGCCAATTTCACATTATAACAGTCTAAGTAAACTTAGGCTCAGTATTATTCGTTACACTGCTATACTGACTCTAACAAACCCTAGTAGGAGGTCGTGTCAGCTAACCTTTGAGCGACCTATGACCGACAAATGCGAGACGGCCGAACGGATTTAACCAATCTGACAACGACTACGTTAGGGCTCGGCGGGACAGCCAGGTGTTAGGGAAGCACATGCACAAATGCCGACAAAGTTATTGATTCATTAACCTGTGCTGTGCCGTCTCCATCCTTTCTCGCACACCTGGCTGTCCCTTTCTCTGCACTTCTCCCTCGTAACAAATAGTGAACTGTGTCAATATTTTAATGATAGTTTGTTAAACAACTTTTTTATTTTTAGGACATAAATTCTGCAAATACCTCACAGAGTTGGTCTGACGTTTTGATTATAATCAGTGTTTCATTGAGTATTTTATGTTTATTAGTTTTCGAGTTAGATTGCAATTCATCGGTCCACTTTTGAGCCAAACGGACTATAACTTCGCTTTAAAGAAGTGGGCCGATATTACCCAGTTTATTACTTGTTGGATTTTTTTCAGCGGAAATCAATGGTTATTGCTACCTAACCAAGGCCGTAAGTGTACGACTGCCCGTTTACTGTGAAAAGGGAGAATACTGCTGTGGATCAGGCAGGTATAGACATTGCTGCAACGAAGACAATTCGTAAGTTCTTTAGCCTCATATATACTGATGTACAAAAGAAAGTACACACCTGGTGTTTTGAGGTTATTAAAACAACGTAAATATTTTGCTAGCAATGTTCCTATTGGGTACGATATCTATGGTGTTATTGCAACACGACACAATGTTTGTGACTTGTGAGTGACAATCAAAACACTTTTCTAAATATTACGCTGTTTTCAGGAAAACATTTTACCGAAGCATCAGGTGTGTACTATCTTTTGTACGTCAGTTTATATAGATATTATATTAATATAATATCCTTGCCTGCTTATACAGCAAACACAGAGACTTGACCTAATCAAAGACCAAGTGATGGGCTGGGTCCCTCGGCTTATTCCGCTGCCTAAATAACATTCGTCACTACTCGCCCATCTCCGTAACCTCCACGATGAGGCTTGTGCCGGAATAACACGAGTGTTATTACGAGTGTTATTCCGGGACATTACGGAAAGGGTCGAGTGATGACGAATGTCTAATTAGTTCATTCGTGACCAACTCGTGTTATTCCGGGACAAGCCGAATAGCGACTCGTGTTCTCCTGGAAGGATTTCATATTGGTGCATGAACATCAGAAAGTTCTACTTTAAACAAGAACGATAACTCTACCAGCTGTTCACCTTATATTTCTAAATGAATATTTCTAGATAAGGTTTAATTATCACAAATGGGAATTGTTTTATTGAATATACAAATAAAATAATCTTTTTTTCAGCAACATTAAATCCCAAAGCAGATACTCAAAAATAACTAAAAAATATTTCTCAAACTGAACATTCGTGTAACCTAGCTGTCACAAACAGGATGGAATTTTAAATGAATTCGCTGAAAAACAAATTCAGACTGAAATATACCCAGAGGTTTGAAATATAAGGAGACATATGAGACCGAACAATACAACTGTATTCCGATGGTGAGATCTCACAGACGAGCTATAGCAGCATTCAGGTGTGGAGTTGCTCCAATCGGTATGGGTGGCGGGGTAGCCTAGTGGTTAAAGCGTTCGCTCGTCACGCCGAAGACCCGGGTTCGATTCCCCACATGGGTACAATGTGTGAAGCCCATTTCTGGTGTCCCCCGCCGTGATATTGCTGGAATATTGCTAAAAGCGGCGTAAAACTAAAACTCACTCACTCCAATCGGTAGAGAGACAGGGCGGTACAGTAATCTACCAGTAAGCGAAAAAGTGTGTTTTAATTGTAAAACCAGTGTCGAGGATGAGTGCCACGTTATCTTACATTGTCCACTGTATGAGAGTATGCGTCGAGTTTTATTTGAAAAGTGCAATTCTTTATGGCGAGACTTTAATAATGCAATAGACTGTGATAAGTTAGGGTTTTAACCTTTCAAACACTGATTGTGCAGTTTTTAGTGCCAAAGCCAGCAATCTTATTTTAGATAAACGTAAAAGTATTTTATATGAAAATTGCTCTTAATTGTATTTATATTTATTTTAATTACCAACTTTGTTTTACATAAGTCTCTGGTAACTCCAAAAGGAGTGGCTCAAGGTATTTTTGTATATATAGCTTTTAATGCAATGTAATTCATGTACCATAATTGAGGTGAGACTATAATAAAATACTTGTCTGTCTGTCTGTCTATAAGTTCAATGTTAGAGATTAAAGTTGATTAGTTACATACAGATATAATATTATTGTTTTGAAACTCGTAGCGATTAACAATTACATTTCCTAAAAATGTTAGAAGCACACGTACAATCTCACATAAACAAACACATAATGCCATAACCAATTTAAGTACGTGGGATTATTTTTATCAAAGCACCGCAATCATTACGGGCGTTCTGATTGGTTTGTCGTATGTTTGCACACAACATGCATCCAGGTGGGGACGAGTCTGCTTGGAGGTTACGGAAAGGGACAAGTGGTGACGAATGGAATTAGTTAACTGTGACATCTTTCGTCACCACTCGCCCTTTTCCGTAACATGCAGTTTGTCCCGGGTTACCAGGAGATGGTCACAATTTGAGGTAAGGTGAAATTGGGTTTAACGTCGTGCTTGAGAATATTTCGCTCATATGACGACGTGCATGCGTGTGTATGTGTATGTGCGGCTGCTTGTACTAGCCCAGACTTAAGCTGGTTTTATCGTGCTAGCCCACTGAGATACCATGCCGCAGTGAAGCATGAATACCCCACTCAGACACATTATACTGACTCCGAGCCGACCAGTCCTTGTACCCATTAATGCCGAGCGCCAGGCAGGGACCAACAAGTACCATATCTTAACGTCTTTGGTATGACGCGGTCGGGGATCGAAGCCACGACCTTCCGCTCTCCGGGCGGACGCTCTAACCACTACACCACGGAGGCGGTCCTCACAATTTGACACAAATAGTTATGAACGGTGCTGAGTCCCAATGTTTGGCTTACATCGAGTTTTCATCGTGAGCCTTATAAATATGTATGAACTGATTTATAAACGATTACAAAACGTTTTGCCCGATGTTTAATTCAACCATTGCCAAAACACATTACACAGTGTTTTCTTATTTATATATACGTTAACATTAATAACTAAACGAAGTGATTATTTAATCGTGAACACTATATAAAAATAGTAGAAAATAGGTACCATTACTCAACGTAACAATACCAAAGCCCACCAATTCTATTATCAGTCAGAAAACAGCAGCCTGTTGGTTGGGCGTTGGCATATTTTTCAGTTTAGGGACGAACGGTGTTGTGTTTAAATTGGGTGTGTTTGATAGGGTGTATGGGATGGATGGGGTAGTTAGTGGGGCTAATATTTTGTACGGAGGCGGGATGTTGCTCCAGTAGAAACTGCAACTGGAAAACCTGATATATTTTTTGTGAGGACATTTCAGTTTCAGTTTCAACTGTTTGAAGCATGATAAGCATGTTGTATTTTTTTTAATTTTAATCTTTTATTTTTCAATAACTCCTAGGTATGCGCCGTTAGCTGTGGGACTCGGGGTTGGTATTCCCGTGACGTTGGCTGTAGCAGGCCTAATCATCTTCCTGTGCGTCAAAGGCAAACTTCGGTGTCCTGTCCAGCGCTCGTCAGACCGGTAAGCATGTAGGGAATGTCTCAAACATCCGGGTTAGATTTGGTCTTCAGCAACCCGTGATTCTCGGAAGAGGCGACTAACGGGATCAGGTGGTCCGGCTCACTCAATTGGTGATCGATGCACATGCTGTTGATCACTGGATTGTCTGGCCAGACCGCCGCCATATAGCTGGAATATTGCCGATTGATTGAACAACAAACAAATAAACAAGAACTTTGCCTTAAAGTCCGGGGTTCAAACCTATACACACATAGGGTGCGGCCTCCTTGCCTTTGTCAAAGCCGTCTTTCGATGCAAAGCAGTATTCAAGTACATTCCATAAAATATATCATAATTAACTTGCCGGTTCAAGATGATATTAAGCCATAATATAAAGAAGTATGCTTTGGAGACTCAAGGCAAGTATGTTATTTGATGCTGACATCACCACAATGAAGATATATTTTTCATAAAATAAGTAAATTTCATGTTTGCTTATCAAATAAATATGTTTAGTCATCAAAATATGTAGTGCTTGGTATGTTGAACATTTCCCTATATTTAAGTTACTATATAGTTAAGTTTCAGGTATATTAAGGCTTTAAGTTATTCTTCACTCGCTTTTAAACATATTGTCACCAACGAACTCATTCGCCACAGTTCAATCACTTTCGTAACCTTGAACATGCCTCAAAACGACACGGGTTTATCACGAATGCACCCAGCCCGGATTTAAAACATGCTAGCAACAGTTGCGTCCCTTTCTTGCGAACGGTATGTCGTAGTTTCCTCCGGGCACATTCGTGACCAACTCGTGTCATTCCGGGACGAGTCTTCTCGGAGCATTCGTCACCATTCGTTCCTTTCCGTAACCATGAAGACGCAAATTGGCCAGGAGTGTTCTTGTGGTTACAGAAAGGGGCGAATGGTGAGGAATGCTCTCGGCAGTTTGCATCAATGTCATGTCATGGTTGTCAAGTTGACAGTAAGATCGAACCGATAATCCTTGCAGGAATAACAGATTTCCGATCTAACCATCCCCCAAATTAGCCAACTATTACGACTGTCAACAGCTGTGACAGAATAGTAAATTCAGATTTCGCGGTCGCACAATTTGGAACCAGAACTGGTTCTTGAATATACGCTTGTCACCTGAAATCTGTTACCGGAAGTAAGCTGAACCCCGTCTCGCACATCGCAAGTTGGCGCTCGCAATGGGAGCCGGAACCAGCTTAGTACCGGTACTAGCGCCTCGCGAGACCTACGGGGCCTTATTGTAGGCAGATTGCTTATGTACCGGTTTGTTTCAGTGTGTGTAGAATCTATGCCAATGTGTCTGTAATTTTGCAGGAGCGTCAACTATGCACCAGCCAAGAGTGGGGAAGCCTCTTGATCCACACGGCTCATCAACACAAGGTACTGCAACGCAGCAGTCTTCACGTGGTCATTCCCCATGGATGTTTTACATCATATATGTGATATAAGTGTACAGTGAACTCCGTAAGTTCGAACAGCAGCCTTCCTAGTCACTTCTTCCCATTTAGAAAATCCAACTCACAATCGGAAACCCGGTGCCTTTCAATTACCAGATGCCAATTAGCGTCAGCGAATCAACAAACTGGGTTTCGGACCATAGCACCTGGTTAATACGCACCTTGAACTCGTATATTTGATCGGATTAGGCTTACCATATGTCTAAATATAGCACCTCTGTGTCCCTCAAGAACAAGCCACATGTACAATGTTATACACTGCAGTCGGAACATTGCTGCATAATGAATAATACTGCCACATAACAATATGTCTGTAAATTTATGTACTTCAGGATGCAGCAATTACGATTATTTTTGCAACAATGACGTTCTATTCATGTACTCAAACAGCGACAACCTTTACTTTTTCAGGAAAATTAAACAATTACTACTCACGTCTTGCATCCACGTTTTATTGTATTATCCGTACGCTTGTGTATTGACCTCAGTCACCTGATTCTTGGTTACATTATTACAAAGTTGTGAGTGGTGACAGCGCTGGGATTAACTAGACTATGTGGTCTTGGTGCATGTTTCAGTTTTATTAATCAATATTTCGGCAAATTGTACAGTGAGTAATCAAATAGATAATATGGCGCAATATTTACTGCATTGCAAAACAAATGTAAATCAACGTAAAGCTAGAGTGGAATCTCTTACACCTCTCAATATTGACCTCTCATTGACAGGACTATTGTTCAAGGAATTGTTCAATAGGGATTGTTCGCCAAGAGGTTCATAATATAATTCTTGCTTATATCAAAGCGTGTAGCAGATTTGCTGCTTCATGCATTTTTAAGAAACTTAGCAAACCTTTATGATGGGCAAGGTGTAAATGGACCTTGTTGCATTTTGTTCCATAATGTAGAACAAGTTCCCCAGGGAATCCGAATTTCTGGTTACATGATTACACCTCGTCTTTGTTTAACACCAGACACCCCTCCAAAAATACATCGCGTACAATGACATGTTCGAGGTATGGACAACCTAAAGAAGGACATTTTTTACTTTGATCTTCATTGTATAGCGATCAAAACTATTTTAATGCCCCGTCCTAAGAATGATAATACCAGTTTTCATTCAACACTGCTTGCGTTTGGTCTGTTTTGAACATTTAAGTGTTTGATCTTGAGAATGAATCTAAAATATAGGTGGATGAATTTCTAAGAGGAAATACAGAATACAAATATGATGTCCAAATGCTGTTCAAGAGGTATACACGAGATATTCTCTATGCCCGGGCACTGCATGGTTTCAAAACAAGAAGTGTTGGGGTGAAGTCAACTTGAGTCAAAACCTTTAAAGCATCCCAATTCTCATGAAGCTGCTAAGTAACTACAGAGATGCCAACCCTATTTTGGGCCAAAGTGTAATACTTGAGGTCAAAAAGTGTAATTTGGACCTAAAAAGTGTAATACTTAAAAGAAAATACTTAGTGAAAGGTGATAACTTTATAAAAATTAGTTGTAAGAAGGTTTATTCACATGAATAGGAAATATTCTAGACAGAAATACATGTGACCAATCATTATGAAGCTCCATACATCGAAAATTGTTGGTCAGGGGACACAAAATACTTTAATTCCTTATAAGTTAATTGGAATAAGCGCGATGCTAAGAGTAAGACCATTTCTGAACCACTGTACCGGTGCGTTACGAAACACTTCCCTGTGAAATTTTTTCCACTTTATGGAGTTTCTTAAAACGAGTAGAAAAGCGTAAGTTTCGCAGATTAAGTGTAATGGCGTAATATAATGGTCAAAATCGTAATAATTACGCCCAAAGTGTAAGGGTTGGCATCTCTGTAACTATGAGGAGAGAGAAACGTAACAAAGTTCTGAAAGAAGACATATTTGTTTTTATTAGCAAAACTTTACAATCATAGTTGGTATAGAGAACACTGTACATATACAAACACAATATACTAATAAGCTAGCATCGAGTCACAGTTTATAACTATGAATATTTCCTTAGGATTTCATAGATTAAATTTCAATAAGACCCTGGCTCTAAATATGATTTAAATGTACAGCCAACTGCCTATTCATCCAGACTTCCTCGCAGGCAGCGCATGCGTCAAACTGGGCGCAAGCGCATCCTACTCACGGAACCAGTCTGTTTTAATTTGTTACTCTTTTCATTATTAATAAGATTCACTATTGAGGGATCTCTCAAAATCCGAATTGGGTTTGCATTTACAACACGGTATATTTCATACTAGTCGAGGACTGACACTCAGATTGTGTTCTACGTCATGTTGTTCTGTAATTGTTTAACTCAACTCATCAAGCTTTTAATCTTTGGAAAGTTTGTTTATTCAAATAAAAATCGTTTTATACCGCCGCTGTTAGCAAAATATTCCAGCAAATATCACGAGATATCGCTCATCAGAGAACGATTCACACATTGCACTTGAGTTGAAAATCGAACCCGGATCTTCCGCCTGGCGAGCGAACATTGTAATTCCATATGTCCATATGTGGATATACGTATCCAAATAAGATACTGAAATTTATACCAACATAGAGCAATCTACCGGATAATTCATATGCCCATATATATGGCATACAGGATGTGCGAGGATTTCAATACAGTGGGCTCGTTAGTTGTGTACACGTCATTGATTCGGTGGGCGTGGTTTAGCCTAGTGGTAACATCGTTCACTCGTTACGCCGAAGACCCGGGTTCGATTCCCAACATGGGTCCACTGTGTGAACCCCATTTCTGGTGTCCCCCGCCGCTTGACACACTCACTAAACGTCTCAGTGTTTGAGTATTTCAACATTCCTCACAGTTTCGCAGTGTTATCAACGTCAAGACTCGATTAAGGATTATAAAGTAAGAAATAAAATATTGTGTTAGGCAGTAAGTTTTGGGTGGTCCAGCTGTGCCATATATTTTAATTATATATCGGTCAGTTCACCCCCACAGAACGATTGTAAACATTTTACGAATGCTTCATTTCTCAAGAGATGCCATACACTTTTGAAACGTCCATAAAATCCTCAAAATCCATTTAATTGGGATGCATTGAGTGCTGCTTGACTGTCTTTTAGATGGCGATATTTTCACATAACAAAATCAACACCAGTTTCCGTTTCACAAAGCTATCCTAGCGCTACGACTGTCGTACATTTTCGAAGTTCTCTATACTCGTAAGGCCTACACTTTTTCGAAGTTCTCTTAGCACTTAAGATGGTCGTAAGTGCCATACATTAACTTACGACTATCTTAGCGCTAAGAGAGCTTCGAAAATCTAGGCCCTGTAACGTAGACTTACGACAGTCGTAGCGCTACGAAAGCTTACTCAAACGGGGTTCCGCACTGCGCATCTGTAATTATAATAAATTACAGGCCCACAAAGAAGAACCGCCAGAGCTAGCAAACTAATATATATGTAGACACTATAGAAGTGTCCACAAAAAGAAAGCCACTGTCCACAAAATGTGAGATAATCATAACGAATAGAAACTGGCATTTATTTATTCGAACTGTGTTGTTTGATGCCCTGGATTTGATTCCACTGAAAATGTCGCAGTTTCTTATCACTACGATGCAAACTGGGAGACTGTCTTTTAAATGTGTATGGCTTTTTCTACTCTACTTTAAGTGTGAAGATATTCCTCAGTTCTCTTTGTTTTTCATGCATGTGTAAGTTATTTTCTCGAATGTAATTGCCGAGTTCATTCAATATCAATTTATCATTGTCCAAACACCAATTATGTAACTCTCGGGAACTTGCTCAACCATCACTAGTGCAAACTTTCACTTGAGTGTACGGTAAGTTATTTATGACAAGTATGTTAAACACTTAACATAAACACTTACATTCTGTGGGGGAGATTATGCCCTATACTGATGAAACACAATTAGACTTATGGCACTTTTGGGTTATGAATTCACTTAAAACGAGTCATCACATGTCGTATTTCAATGACCTAACTACTAGTTCTGACCAATATTGTGAATAAACATCAATACATTCGTGATATTAACATATGTAAATCATTAGGTCGTTAATAACTTTTAACATTTAAAGTTTCACATAAGAGTTGTTCCTGGATTTCAAGATATCTGGAACAGATGTCTAAAATTATGTCTAACTCAAGGCCCACCAATCCCATTCGTGGCAAACTCGTGCTATTCCGGGCCAAGCCGAATAGCGTCTTCTTGAAGGTGACGGAAAGGGGCGAGTGGTGACGAATGCCACCATAATGTACATTATTTAATAAGTGTATGAAGCGACCGAAAAATGTCTAAGATTGCTTTTCAAGGCAGCGTCTCACACGCAAGGGGAAATGGCTCAATGTTTTGTGTGCAGACAGGCGTCTCAGTCGTTTGGTGTATGCACGGAACACATTTCACCAGGTCCGGAAAACATATGGGACAATGGATTATTTTGTTGCTGGGAGAAAATCACTCTTGTGGGGTTAGTTTTGGCAGTACGGGTAACACATACGGTTTAAAATACACATTATATTACAACATTTCAAATATACAACCGAGTCGACTATGGGCATCACAAACAACATAGTTCTGAAGACGGGTTTATCGGCGGCGTTAATGTAACACATAAGGCACGCGTTTTACGCAGACTGTCCACTCACACAACAGAAACATATGCAACCGTTTCCTCACCACGGGTCGTGTTATCGGTCCATCACGCAGCACTTGTAACACTAACACGTCCTGAGAGGAAGTTGATATTTACATCCATTGGGCCATAGCACACGTGTTCCGCAGGAAATGGAACTGTGAACGGATCTGCGATTGGACGAAATTATTCACTGCGGAGTAACTTCCGCTCACTCGGCCCCTCCAAGCATGCGCAGACGATTGTTTCGTTCCTTGTCGGGCCTGTTGGCCTATATGTAGACAAAGTGAGCCACAGTTTGTAGGTGGTTTTCAGATCTTAAACAGCCACCCCCGATGCCGCTTTTTCATGGAAAACTTCAACTCCAGACATCCAAGTTGCGACCTGTTTTCATCCAAGATGCTCAGTACAAGCTCATAGTCACCCTGAAACAACGAACAGAAACTGATAAAAATGTTGAGAGAGTGCGGTAATCGTGTAAACGTTGTTAGTGTGAGTGAGTGAGTTTACATGGTTTCATGCCCCTTTACAAATATCCAAGCACCATCCCAGCATGGGAGGCCAAAAAGGGGTTACACTTTGTACCTATGTCGATATGCGGACACTTTTCTCACAAAACCACCCTATCACCATCTTATATGAATAGAGATGACTTGTACTTGGCTGAAGTAAGGACCTTTTGAGTTAATGAATTTGGTACCCGGCAACTGTCAAGGGCACTAATCCCCAAAAAGGAAATCCTACTGCAGTGGTTTCGCCCTCCAGTTGTACACACTTAAACACTGAGAACCCCTGCTTCTGTGGTCAATACATCAGGTGTTTGACACAACTATATATGTGACTTCACGTAGTGACGAGTACGTGGTTGAAAAGCAGGAGTGAGTGAGTGAGTTTACTTTTACACCGCTTTTAGCAATATCACGGCTGGGAACATCAGAAATGGGCTTCACACATTGCACCCAAGTTGGGAATCAACTCAGGTCTTTGGCGCTTTAACCACTAGGCTACCCCACCGCCCCAACGCGACGGCATTTGGCGTTTGAGTCAAAGAGTACAGTAGTCCACGAACGAATGTAATGTAATAATAGGAACAGTGAGTTGGGTTTCACGGCGGTTTTATAAGTAATACACAAAAATGTTCGTCGCACATTGGAGGGAAAGGAATCCGAATCTTTGTCATGACCTACGAATGGTTCGCGAAGCTACTTGACCCTTCCGTACCAGGCGTATATACCCTCCCAAACAATGTCAAAGTAAATGGTGACGTAAGAAAATATATACATTAAATTCTACCACTATCTTAAGGTCATAGGGATCATCCATGTATTTAACAGAACACGCACAAAGAACTCTAGACTAACATTCAGCCCCAGAAAGAGATGTATACTCAAACATTTAGAGCAAAACTCAAAAGAAACCCACAAAAATGCAAAAAATGGAAGAAACAAGCAACTCGGTCGGATCATTTTAGACTTGAGCTGGACTTCTTTTAGTATATTTTCTAGCGTCAGGGAGTCTAAGTGGACCCGTGCGTCTGTGTTTGGTACTCTGTGTGAGATAGGCTGATATCAGCAATGTGCATCGCTGCTTAGCCAGTGTAATATACTTCCGTTCAGTCATAATGGCTGTCCTGGACTCATTGGCTTCCAGTACGGCAGGTGTGTTTTGAGTAGAATGGACTGCAATAGACTCTGTACCAAGATAACAACTTCAACAGACAAGGGATGAGCTTTTAGCAATATTCCAGCTACATCACGGCGAAGGACACCAGAATGGGCTTCACATTGTACCCATCTGGGGAATCGAACCCGGGTCTTCGGCGTAACGAGTGAATGCTTTAACCACTAAGCTACCCCAACGCTCCGCGATATTAGGGACTGCACCAGAGATAGTTGTTGTAATGAAAAGGAGATATAAGTAGCAGTCTGTCATACAGACCCTGTAGCAAACATATCCAAGAAATCCCACGCAAGACTAGAAAATGTTGCAAGTCTAGATTTCCTCAGAATGAAGAAAGTCTCAGGGCTCCTTTTTATTATATTTTGTTTTTTCCACTATGAGCCTTTTTGCTGTAAAATATGTTCATTTCAGAGACTAGTTGTTAGTCTAATATAATAGTAACTGATGCGGTTATCTGTGCTTTCGTCACATATGTCATGACTACTTATGCCAGTCGTACCTGTAGTGTCGAGCGAGTAGGGTGTAGAAGTTACATGATCGAGCGGCAAGTTGGCTTACGCAACGAGAACTGTTCGCTGGTAACATTGTGAATAAAAAAAATAATCGACTGCCGAAAAAACCCGTTAATCGGGATAGTTTTAATGCCCTACAATCGACCGGATTAGTGAATGAGTGAGTATGGTTATACGCCACTTTTAGCAGTATTCCAGCAATATCACGGCGGGGGACATCAGAAATTGGCTTCACACATTGTACCCATGTGGGGAATCGAACCCGGGTCTTCAGCGTGACGAGCGGACACTGTAACCATTAGGCTACCCCACCGCTCCTCGACCGGATTAACAAATGTTTGTTCTAACGAATCCGAGTGCGCAATGAGCACGCTCCCGTGAGCATCCAGACATTCCCATCATTTCGTCAGCTTCCGGACATGTTCGGACAAACGAGTTTTGCTGCATTACAAATTATTACTTTTCAAAGGAAATGGGACTTTGTAGCACTTAAACAGCGGAACTCACCACGAACACGACGTATCTGAAACAGGGTCGCTGGTATTGTGTGACACTCTCATATGCATCGAGTAATTTAGTTCTGTATAATACTGTGCGATATGAACCAAAACAACTCCGCTCCGATAACGGCCGAGTGCTATTTCAGACCCATCTGTTTATTAATTCTCGAGTGAATCGTACAGGCTCATGGCTTCGTGTCAACCAACCTGTCGGTGAGTCATTGCTTCAGCCACAGGCCTATAAAGCTTATTAATGAATTTGAGAAAATTGGATGTTAAGAAGCTCTAGATTAGGTCCATAGATGTGTAAGCTGTGCTGCCTTGTGTGTAGGTGGTCCAACTTGAGTTATGGCCCCGGGGCAGTGTGGGATGCCCCCTGCCGTGAGGCCGAGACGTCTTGACTCGGTGTTTCCTGGCCCCGGGGGTGGGGAAAACGGAGGGGGTGTCAATTAGGTTATGTGTACTTTGTGAAAGGGGGCAGATGGAGAAGCTACCCGGCCTGGAGACGAAGGTGCTTCCTCCCCGAGGTTGGGAGCAGGGAGATGAAGGACTCGGGGAGGAGGGGGGAGGGGGAGGGGGGGGAAATGAATGTTAGTTCACATAGTGGATGGTCGGATGATACAAACTTTTTAAATGGGTGACACATAAATACTTTAGTTCACTTTGGGACGTCAAAGTGCTGAATGGAGTTTGAAATACCTGCGCTTATGTAGAATCTGACGTCATTATACACAGTGGGAACCCATAATGAATGGAAACGGGAACAGAAGCACCCATACATGAACAAGATATACTTAAATATGACCCACTCTGTAGATATGAACCACTCAGATAGTGAATATGACCCACCCAGACAGTGAATATGATCCATTCAGACAGGAACTAGGACACACTAAAACAGGGAATGTTACATACTCAGACAGGGTATATGACACGTTCATATGGGAAAGAGGGCATACTCAGAAAGGGTATATGACACATTCAAATGGGAAAAAGGGCATACTCAGACAGGGTATATGACACGTTCATATGGGAAAGAGGGCATACTCAGACAGGGTATATTACACGTTCATATGGGAAAGAGGGCATACTCAGACAGGGTATATGACACGTCCATATGGGAAAGGGGGGTAACTCAGACAGTGCATATGACACGTTCATATTGGAAAGAGGGCATACTCAGTCAGGGCATATGGCACGTTCAAATGGGAAAAAGGGCATACTCAGACAGGGTATATGACACGTTCATATGGGAAAGAGGGCATACTCAGACAGGGTATATGACACGTTCATATGGGAAAGAGGGCATACTCAGACAGGGTATCTGACACGTTCATATTGGAAAGAGGTCATACTCAGTCTGGGCATATGTCACATCCATATGGAAAAAGGGCATACTGAGTCAGGGCATATGACACGTTCAGATGGGAAAGAGGGCATACTCAGACAGGGTATATGACACATTCATATGGGAAAGAGGGCTTACTCAGACAGGGTATATGACACATTAAATTATTACCCTTACGATAAATTTGTCGAATTCTGATTGGTCAACAGCCAAACATACGAAACTATGTAGGCGAATTTGCCAGGTTGTGCGAACCGTACACACCGTCAAATCTGTCACGTGACACTCTACACTAATACTTATTTGGGAAAGACAGCATACTCAGACAGGGAATTTGACATACTCACACAGGGAATTTGACACACACATACGGGTAATATGACATACTCACACAGGGAATATGACACACACATACAGGTAATATGACATACTCACACAGGGAATATGACACACACATACAGGTAATAAGACATACTCATACAGGGAATTTGACACACACATACAGGTAATATGACATACTCACACAGGGAATTTGACACACACATACATGTAATATGACATACTCATACAGGGAATTTGACACACACATACAGGTAATATGACATACTCATACAGGGAATATGACACACACATACAGGTAATATGACATACTCACACAGGGAATATGACACACACATACAGGTAATATGACATACTCACACAGGGATATACACACATACAGGTAACACACATACAGGTAATATGACATACACATACAGGTAATATGACATACTCACACAGGGAATTTGACACACACATACAGGTAATCTGATATACTCATACAGGGAATTTGACACACACATACAGGTAATATGACATACTCATACAGGGAATGTGGCACTGGAACATTCAGACACTGAATATGGCATACTCAAACAGTTAACATGACACACCCAGACAGGGAATATGACATATTCACACAGGTTAACATGACATACTCGCAATGACAACATGACGAGCTCATGCAAGGAACATGATACATTCACGACATGCCATTTCCAAACAGGGGTACTTGTCGGTTTCTCAATAAAGGTAAGAGAAAAGATGCAAGTTTCTGATGTTTTGCACCGAAACCATTACGCGATGGTGACAAAAAATTAATCATAATCAGAGCAACACGGAACTTCCGACCATAGGATCCTAGCACGACCAAGGGGCACAGCTTCGTACAGTGAACAGCGGTGCTATATAATTATGCCTTAGGGGCATCTGTGCCCCATGTAACCATGTTATGTCACATCTGTGATAACAATCAGGCATATGTACAACTAAGCAACTTATAGGTAGAGTATGGAAAGATGACTCTGTGACAGTGTAAATAAAGAACGCAGGGAGGAATACGACAAGTGTTTTACGACGTGCGTTGTTCTGCCAACATAACAGGGATGTCACTACAGGTACACTGCATTGTCGCCGTTAACCTCTGGTGGATATATCAAGTTCAGTACATTTGCCACAGTTGCCTTAAATGTGTGCCCCTTCCAACCACCACCTCGTTATCAGGAAACATATACCAGCAAGGACAGGTATGTCATTAAGGTTAAAAATAGTCTGTCAGGTTTTTCAACATTTCAAACGTAAAAAATACATTTCTTTCAAGCTTTTCACAGTCATTTATCTGTCTGTAACAGGAAATACGTGCTTATTTACAGGCCAGTACACAACAAAAACGGCGACAGCCTTTCCAGATAATAATTGTACCTTCCAGAGCAAACGCATTTATCAAAACAGAAAGATATCGTTAAGAGTCGAGGATTGAATCAGTCCCTTTTGTGTTGAATTTCAGCTTAGGTCTAATTTGTAATCACGTGACAATGAAGTCCCGCTGAAGCCTTTAATTTTCGTTACACCCCGAAAGTGGGCGTGGTGGAGGGCTCTTCTTGTGAGGCTCGAGGTGCGTCGGATGGATGGAACGGACCGCCGTCATCTGACGTAGACCTGAACACCGGCGATGATTTACAAACCCATTAACCTGGTGGCACGGCGAATTTCACAATGCCTTCAGAATTTAGTTTCAAAAGTTGACTTTTGAAAGGTGATTGGCTCCCGCAAAAAAATTCAGGCTATATCTGAATAGGTGTGAGGTCTCATCGTTCACACAACAGCACAATTCTCGCTTGAAAGCTTAACATTATCACACCTTTGTGAAATGAGACTGATGCGAAAGTTTTGAAAAATACAACATTATGTCTCTCTGTCCGTCCTTGTAGGGTTTGTTATTTCAACGCGGAGGTGAGAGGGAGGGGGCACAGATTTAACTGAACGGATCCTGTTCGTGCAAAAAATGTATTTAACATTAGCCCCCTTCCCCTGCTGTTGTCATGTCAACCATGACGTCAAACGACAGACCCGTATTTCAGTAAACGCTATTGTAAATGAATTAAGGCCAAAGTGAATATATTTTTTATATCTCGTCAAAGGTTGGTCTCAGCTAGCTCATAGAATTACAGATTTGAGAGTACAATGACCACTTGTGCCCAGAGGGGTTTCAACTGTAACACTGTGATGTAGACCTTATATTTTGGTCCCATTTTGTAGTTTCGTGAACAATTCGATGTAAGTGTGCCTTGGCGATAATGATCAAGTAGTGTGTTTGAAGGTAAACGTTGTATTAGGATCTGGGTGCCGTTGTACAAAACAACCTTAGCGCTAAGGCTACCTTAAGTCTACGTTAAGGTATGGGAGTTACGGTCACCTTAGCGCTAAGATCGTTTTGTACAACGGCACCCTGGTAGAACATACCAGTCATTCTTACAAGTTGGTCAACGCTTGCTTGTCGTGGAAGACTAACGGTGAGCGAATGCTGTTTTGCGCCACAGTTGACAATATTCAAGTTTATCACTGCGGCATGTAACTAATCAGAAATTGGTATGAACAACGCTTTACGTCGAGGTACGTTGCCGGATCACTAACGTCAAACATTGTGACCGCCCGTTCCTTATCACAGCACCTGTGAAGATCCGGGTTAGAACTGATCTTCAGTAACCCATGCTTGTCGTACAAGGCGACTAACGGGATCGGGTGGTCAGGCTCGCTGACTTCGTTGGCACATGTCATCGTGTCCCAGTTGCGTAGTTAGATGCTGGTGCTGTTGATCACTGGATTGTCTGGTCCAATCTGTCTGATTATTTACAGATCGCCGTTATATAGCTGGAATATTGCTGAATGCAAAACTACACTTACTCACTCACAGCCGACACCACAAACATTGTGACCTGTTGTGATTCATATTCCCTACTGTGTCTAGTAGGTGAGTGAGTGAGTATGGTTTTACGCCGCTTTTAGCAATATTCCAGCAACATCACGCCGGGGAACACCAGAAAAGGGCTTCACACATTGTACCCATGTAGGTAATCGAACCCGGGTCTTCTTCGAGCTAACACTTTAACCACAAGGCTACCCCATCGCCCCTACTGTGTCTAGAGTTGAGTTAGTGAGTTAAGATTTTTAGTCACATCGGCAGTATTTCAGTCATATCTTGACTAAAACAGGTTATATGTTATATATTCGTGATACATTAACTTAGATCACAAAAACCTGTCGACGAAGGACAGCAAAAACATATGAAATATCACAAATATAGATTTAAAGCCAGAAAATCTATTTTACTACTGAATATAAAAACAGCTTCTGATTGCCAATAATTGCAGGTAGATCGCCATACTAAGGACCATGGGTACGTATAGTACTTTTGCTACCTGCAGGGGCGGTGGGGTAGCCTAGTGGTTAAAGCGTTCGTTCGTCACGACGAAGGCCCGGGTTCGATTCCCCACATGGGTGCCCCCGCCGTTTGAATAGAGCTAAAAGCGGAGTGAAACTGAACTCACTCACACATTTGCTGCCTGCATGGACCCAAGCTGGATTTAAACCATCACTTCAGCCGTTTGCGTTTGTGCTATTAATCTATTTTCTTGTCGTGGGTGCGCACCCATTGATAGATATTACTACCATAGCGGAGGGGCATGTGTTCTTTAGTACTTCACTAGTCAGGATAACGTATTGGTGGATGTACTGTTACAGACCTTCCAACCCCCAGAGTGAAAAATGCTTGAGATGCCGGGCTCCAGGGGCCGCCCTCCACGTCGAAGTCCTGCAGCTCAGTGAGCGAGTCAGTGAGTGAGTGAGTTTAGTTTTACGCCGCACTCAGCAATATTCCAGCTATATGGCGGCGGTCTGTAAATAATCGAGTCTGGGCCAGACAATCCAGAGATCAACAGCATGAGCATCGATCTGCGCAATTGGGAACCGATGACATGTGTCAACCAAGTCAGCGAGCCTGACCATCCGATCCCGCAGTCTTTCTGAAGTCAACGCATAACTACAAATTTCCTTATCAGTAAAGTCGCCGACAACGATGTATTCAGGCCTATCTGCGTGATTAACGGATGTTTAGTTTTACTTTTCATCGGAACCAGGTTTAACGTGAGTTTTGTCAGCTTAGTCGTGAGAGCGACGTGAGCAATAAAGGCTCAAGCCAAATGAGTGACAGTTGGCAAGTACTTGTATGCTTTTATTCGACTTAACGGGTGGTGGTGTGGGGACATTGCAATAATATAACGCAGATGTGAGATAGCATTAAATGTCCATAAAATTACATACACTTACATTAATTAGAGCTCCAGCAAAGCCGTTTATTTTTGGAACATTGACCGGCACCCTGGACACTGTGAAGTCCCCGGCCTGGAAGGGGCAGTGGCACTGGACGTTGTACGACCGTAACGTCTTCGGACACCCAGAGTGCTCATACTTCTCCAGGCGGTGGCATATATTATCATATGTGCTGAAATATAAGTATACTATAATCACATTATATAAATATAACGACGGATGAAACCTTTCGGAAAAGAGTTCAGCCCATTGAAACTTCATATTGACATTTGAAATAGTGAGTGAGTGAGTTTAGTTTTACGCCACTTCTTAGCAATATTCCTGCAATATCACGGTGGGGGGCACCAGAAATAGTCTTCGAACCCGGGACTTCGGCGTGACAAGCGAACGCTTTAACCACTAGGCTACCCCACCGCCTCATTTGGAATAGAGGTAAACTAGGATTTCTGTATCATTTTTCACCCACAGCACGATTTTCCGATCAAGTTAACAAAACATTTTACTTAAAACTGAACCTCGTATGTTTTTCCCTGCAGCCTATCCACCCCAAACTATCAATTATCTTGTGCTTTATCACCGTAATTCGGAGGGACAACTCACCAGGACCCGATGTGGTTATCGAAACATGGGATCATAAAGGGGATCCCAAAGAAATACTTCATGATGCTGAGCTCGACGGAGACCCGTCGAGGAAGGTCCTCCGTGACGTTGCCAGTGAAGCTGACGTAGAGAGTACCGGGGATAATGACTGGCATGGGACTGGCTTTGACGTCATAGAAGTGGATCGGGCGGTTGTTTTCTTTCCCTGTGAAAAACAGTGTGTGAGTGAGTGAGTCAGATGGGTTGAACGGATTTGAATGGATGCAGGTCTTATAACGCTTCTTTGGTGTTACTTACGAGTAGTACGGTACTGACAAACCCGGACAGAAAGTTGGGGCGAACAGGGAGTCGAGTGAGTGAGGAAATGAGTTTAGTTTGACGCCGCTTTTAGCAATATTCCAGCAATATCATGGCGGGGGACACAAGAAAATGGTCTTCACACATTGTATCCATGTGGGAATCGAACCCAGTCTTCGCAGCGAACGCTTTAACCACAGTGCTACCCCATCGCCCCCCGGGAGTCGAACGATGCTGGTGAAAGAAATCGGGCGTTATTTAACTTCTTGTCAAAGAAAGGATGGATGGATGGATGGATGGATGGATGGATGGATGGATGGATGGATGTTTGATTGATTGATTGATCGATTTTGATTGATTGACCATTCTATATTTTCCGTCAGAAACTACTATTACATAAAAAAAGGAAGCCACACATTAACCTTCATTAGAAATCCGTTTCTGTTTTATCATGACAGTTTCTTATAACCCTGACACAAAAAGCAGTTCAATCAGACCATTCAGTGTTTTATTAATACTTTGTGGAACAATCTGCGCTGGAGTGAGTAGATGGAGAGAAACACGAACGAAAACGTATATACAAAGGGTCGAAACGCTACATATGACCCATCAGACCAATCAAGGCATATCATAACTTTAGGCCCCCGCCAGTACGTCTAAGCTTCACCTTGATAAACTATGAAATTGCTAATATTAGGTATGTTTTACCAGTTCATGATCTACTGCGGTATTTTTAACAAAATATTCTTCAAAATACACGTGCACGCCATCAGTGTTTACAAAACTATATCTCATATCACTATGATCAACCAGGTTTCCTAACTAACATCGTATTTCCACCAATCCAACACCTGTGCAATAATCTCCATTTATCACCTGGAACAAACTTCCGTAAATATATGACGTCATAGCGACGAGATCCCGTGGTTTCTCGCCGGGCGATCGCAATAACGTTTGTTATCGTACATGTCAAATAACGAAAGATAAACAGATAAACAGGGAACATCCTAGGGTGCTAATGACTTTTATCGACCCTGGTTATTTATGAGAGGAGCAGGAAGTTTGTGAATTACCCACGTCTGTATGAATGAATGCCCCGAGCATCCGGGCACTTTGTTCAAATCTTGACGTCAAGGCGATGTTATGATATTGCAGTGTAGGCTTCGGTACACCCCAACTATGCGTGGAGTTGTATGTTTCTGTTGTTAAACATACGGCGGAGTCACTAACAGAAAATATAACAAATTTTCTCATAGACATACAACAGCTATGTGTCATACAGGTGTCGAAATATCCATACCATAAAAATCACCTCAAGGTCAATTAACATAACATTACACAGTTTCATCGATTATTTTCTGGTGATGAACAAAACCAAAATGAGGTCTTTGAATGGCATTTAGAAGCGATACACATCAGGAGGAGAGTGTTCTTTATCATGAGGAACGCAACGTTTCGGAGTATATCCTTAATGTACTCCTTCATCAGGAGAATGACTTAATTAACTACGTGGATAATACTGGATTTGACATGCAATTAGAAGTCTATGCAAGGCAAAGATCAGGAGATGTCATTCTTGTTTAACTGTCAAGGTGTTTATGTTTAATTAACAACTTCAAATTTACTAAAAATTACCTATCAATTATATCATCCTTCAATGACTGTCACGACCAAGTTTAAAACAAGCGTTATACATATTTGTTATATATTCATCTACATATGTTTGAATACCAAAGCGAAACAAATATTTAAATCGAAATACGGATCGGATAAAAAGAACAGTCACGCCAAGCACCCGAATACCTATCTGATATTCAGTGTTTGTTCTTTTAAAGGCATTAGCATATCAGAGATGCATATTGTATGCCTGTGTTCATATTATATGTCTCAAGAAATGTAGGTGATTACAACAATACTTCACCTCTGCGAGGGTTGATTAAGAACAGATAGACCAAGGTAATTCTTCCTAACCTCAGCTATTAACCGCGATGTCTCAGTCTCGACTCCGGGAGCCTCCGTTCGCTTTCTCCGATATTAAATCAGCAATGAAATTCTACATAAAATGCGTAATTTATCATGCCTTATTTACCATCTTCGCGGGGGGTCCCATTTTTCTATCGATCGTAGATCTAGTCTAAGCGGCAGTTCTAACGCCGCGGAAAGGAATATAGAGAGGGGGACGCGGTTTACAGGCGTTGAGGTATAAAACGGCGGTTTGGCGACTTCAGAGAGGCAACATTAATTACTGGGAAGATCACACGGAACCAGGCCAAGTTCAGAAGGTTTAGATGAAGAAAACATAGCAGTGGTTGCTATAAAACAGACACAAATGCCTCCACTTTCATCACGAGTCTTATAGTTAACAGCATGGCGGTTTAAGGGGACCGGACGCGAGGTATGGTATTAAGGCAGGAACACTCTAATCATCACTAGGGATCAAAGCGAGTTGGCGGCGCGTCAAAAAGCGCTGTTATAGATTGTCACAAGTGATGGTTTTTAGCTGTTCAAATATGAACCACTGTTTGTTTAATAGCTATCTAAAACACCGCTTGTATATGTGTCGTCGGAGAATCTATCTAAAAACATGCCTTGATAGCTGAGGTGTCTCTATACTACCGCGGATAGAAAAGATTACTTGAATGTGAATCGTGAATGTCGATTTAAGTAAGGTAATTTTGATACTCCGAATAAAGCGAAATCGTATTCAACTCGAACGTCGTCGACATTTAGAGAGAGATGTCGCCTTTAAACAAGTTATTTCTCATCGTCCCCTTGCAGTGACAAGACAAGACACGTGTCTCCTGTAACCTGAGACATTGGCCGAAGGTTGAGGCACCCGGATGTTTAATCGAGTCATAGAGAGCCTTTTAAAACTAAGATAGATATTGACGCGGAGATGCACACAAAGTCAGAGACTGCAAAGAAATGAAAATCGTTGTATATGCATGCCACGTTTGAATTAAAAGTCCCTACAACTTTCAATGAACTTTAGTGTGAAAAGCCGTGTAAACCAAGTTAATATCAGATAAGGCCGGTGTAGGTAATGATTATTTTGACTATCATGTCCATATAGATTTACACTTCCATCGATCTTAAATTTAAAAAACTTTTAAGTAATACAACACGCTCAGAACCCGCCACAGAAAACCACCGTGGAGCTAAGACGACCGTAACTTTCATACACACACGTACGTACGACACAGCGAACGTACGACACTAAAGTTAGGTTTCCATGTGTACGTATTGTCTGCGTAACTGCGTGGTGCGTAGTGCTTAGTGCGTATTACGTGTGCGTAGTGTCCAATTCCATGTGTACGTATATAAGGGCTATGTGGTGCCTTAAATCAAGTCCTTCCTTTCCTGAAGATCGTACAGATCACAATTGCTGTCTACAATGCCACGTACCTTGTTTCTCAAAGAACGCTAGAGAACTAACAGACATAACAGAGGATGAAGAGGATGTGGTCACTGCAGGTTTATTGTACTGTTATGTGAAAACACGAAGGCCCCGATGGTGGGTGCGTGAACTACTGATACAAAGAAGGAGGGTTCAATTAATTGTTCAGTATCCTGGGTACCGAATTCCTTGCCATTTTGCAACTTGTGTGCACAATGAAAACCACGTGACTTTGGGAAAACCCCTTGGGAATCCCTACTTCCGGCCTCCGTATAGCTGCGTGATGCGCATTCGGACACTTTTTGTGCATAAGCAAATTCACGCACTACGCACTACGTATCACGCATCACGTTTTAAGCGTGCATGGAAACCGCTATAACTATTTTAGTATAAACTGTTGTATACGCATTACGTACTACGCATTACGCATCACGCACTGCGCGCACCTGGAAACCCGGCTTAAGTGTACGTACAGCTACAGGTAACCTGCGTGGTCCAGTTGTCAGATCGTTGGAGAGGAGGGTCTGTGGTTCGGACCCCGACCATGTCGTTGTAAAAGACTTCAAAAGATGCTGCTTCTTACACTGTGGGAATTAAATAAGAATTTCTACCGGGTTTGGTAATCTTATCCACGTTAAACTGCAGCATGCATTAGTTGAGTGGTATAATAAAACAGGCCTCAGTCCGGACAAGCAAAAGCAGTTCTTTTAGTTCTTGCACACGATATAGGGGCGGTGGGGTAGCCTAGTGGTTAATGCATCCGCTCCTCACCCGGGTTCGATTCCCACATGGGTACAATGTGTGGAACCCATTTCTGGTGTCCCCCGCCGTGATATTGCTGGAATATTGCTAAAAGCGGCGTAAAACCATACACACTCTTACTAACTCAATATTCAGCGTGGCACATCTCATGTTTACTCTCCCGTCATTTGTTTTGTTTTTAACCAATTCTGATTTCGAATCCGAAGAATATTTATTGAATCATTTTTTGTGTGGAATGAAACACAGACAATTTGTGAATAAAACATGCGACAATAAAGACAGAAAGATTAAAACACTGCTTCAGAATCTTCTCATCGAATATCAAACAGTGCGGTTCTCGTTTTATACGCCGTAACGCTCCGGAAGCTCATTATTTCTAGTTAAACTTTTTAATGCATTTCAACTATTGTTTACCTAACCAAAGAAAAACCTATATGTTTTCAAAAGAGCCTAAATAGTATTATCATGGCATATTAAAGGAAAACAGTTTAGTTTTAATCTCAGGCATTTTACCGCATGTCAGAAACTCCTCGACGCTGAAAGTATCTCCCGAACACATGATCGCTTACGCTTGGCCCGAAAAAAAGATAAACTACCGGAAAATGCCAGAGAATTGTTTGGTATAGTTGTATGTACTCTTGTGTGCCTGACAGGCGATTAAGACAGGGGAATTATAGATACAACGATATGGTACGCCACCTCGCTAAACATTCCATCCTGGCCGGAGTTCGGTCTTGAAGCGCGCTCAG